CCGAGGCAGGACATGGTACTGCAACAACCTCATATTATTATATATTGTAACCACTGGGTGTCACTGTTTACACAATGCTGCATTCAATAACCGTACATAAACGTCTGTTATGCAGTCTATGGGTGCCTTACAGCACGTTATACCAAGAAAGAAAGCATAAAGTGAATAACTGTCGACTCCCACTGCTGTTGTTATCGAATATTTTATCTACGTAGACAAAAATACAGTTTAAGGATAGAAACAGAAAATGGAGCAATACATGTTTTAATTAAGAAAAGCATGCACAAGTATAATGTACTCATAAAAAATTTAAACCTTTAATTTTTTAAGTTCTACTTAAACTATATGATCTATGTAGTATACACCTCTTATCAGTCCCTTATTTTCGGCTGAATAATTCCAGTATCTTTGTATTTCGCACCATAGTGATGGGATTTCTGGCTCTTTTTAGAGAACCGGCTCTTTCGGCTCGACTCACTAAAAAGGGTCGGTTCTTTCGTCTCCGAACCGGCTCTTCAGGTTGTTTTGTTGCTTTAATTAATTTACTATTAACAATAATATAAAATTATGCACAAAAGGAATTATTAATGTAAAAAAAGTGGTTTTATTTATATATGTTTATATATAAATATATACAGTGGCCTCTAGAGACAAAACACTTACAAACTCCAGAAAGCACATACAAACTCCAAAACACATTTCTAGCGTTAACTGAACTTCCAAAACAGAGCTACCTAGATCACTTAAATTAAACAATTGAAAGCATATGTGTATTGTTTGTGTATTTATACACAAGCACTCATATATATTCAAATAATTAAAAAAAAAAAAAGTTCATTTACCTGTTACTACCACACACCAAATCCGGTCGTTGGTACTTGCTGGCTTGTGTAGCCACCAGGTAACAAAAGCTCAACACTGCGCCTAGCATTCTGGAGCACTTCTGTTGTCTTTTGTACGTGTTTTGAAGTTTGTACGTGCTGCTTTGTCTGTAGGGGCCACCGTAAATATACTTTTATTTATTCACTCCACATAAAATGTAATAAATAAATCATATAATACAAAAACCAACTATTCACATTTCAACTTTTAACTATTTAAATTTTCAGCTTTTTCCTTTTAAACAAATTTAAAATGAAACAACACAAAACACTGCAAACCACAACACAATTAAATATAAATTAAAAAATGAAAACAAAAAGAAGATGCACATTCTCTGTCATATAGGCCTGCATGAATAAACCTTCTGAATCCTTTATCATCTGCAACTGAAAATAGTTGTGGATGATTACTATAGGCTACCTTTCTAATGTGACGTTGTTGTCCCTGGCTCTCTTTCTCCGTCTTTCCCTCCTGCTCTGTTTCTGTGCTACTGCGAGTGTAACTACCGCCCCTCCCCCCTCTGACCAGCACAAAGCACAAGGCTCGCATATGGAGTGAAGCGGAAAAAAAAGTGCGAGAGAGAGGGTGAGAGAAGGAAAAAAAAAAACCCCCACGGCTCGTAATAAGGAGCCGGCTTGCGTCGTTCATGTCAAAGATCCGGCTCTAAGAGCCAATTCGTCACTATTACACATAGAAGTCTGTTAAATTCAGAGCAATGAAAAATCAGAGGTCAATTTCTTGTATGTGTGCACATATTTGGACCATAAAGATTCAGATTTTGGTATGAGCCTTTTTAGCTGTTAAAAAGTACACTCTTATAGCACCAGAATGATCAAATGTCTTTTAAAAGATATCAGAAATCCTGTGTTCTGGATCTCATCTGCTGATGAGAACTTTTTACATTTATATATCTTAGACTGACTTTTCCTTATCTGCTTATACAAGTCCTATGATAATTCTGCACATGTTCTAGACTGTTTTGTTGTAGTCCTAAGTTTCTTATCAAAGACAGATCCTGACAGATCTCGGAAAGAGAAAACGTGCATACCATCATCCCTCTCAAAAGAAGCCTAATTTATTATTCATGATATTGAACAGGTTTCATTACAACACAATGGAACATGTAAATCTGCACGACCTTTAACAAGTATGGTAAAAGCATTTTGAACAAAGTTAGACAGTGTAAAGTGTGTCTTTGCTCTCAAGCATTTGTGCACCACTATATGAACATGTCCCAGCAGGCTTGCTGCGGAAAAACACAGACTGCACTATCTTAAGCAATCCACACACACAGGAGCCTGATGGAAAACATGCCCAGTCGATGAGCTGCGAGATAAATTTGTGCTTTCCAAAACATTTTAAAGGCAGAATGCAAATAATCTAATTTTAGTATCCTGACTTTACATGCATAGAGACAGTGTAAATGATGCCCTGCACATGTATCGAAACTAAACTCTAAAGTCAACTAAAAATCCTTGTTGGCAATCTGCAGTGTGCCCACGCCTACAGCTTGTTCACTCCCGTTTTTTCTGCAGGCTTAAACCTGTTGTATATCTAGATGAGGTATCTGGAATGAAATGTTTGCTACCCCAAAGAATATGAAAGCTGAATATGAATGTTAATAATTAATTTTCTTAGTCCTAGTCACTCCAATAGCAAGAGGTTGTCCAAGAATACTTTGGTACCAGTATTGGCAGTGAAATTTATCTGTGTCTTTCACTGCCTTAAACCCTCATTTTCTTTATTATGCATGCTGAAAAAATAAAATAAAATCCTAAAATGAACCTCAGGCTTTATTGCATATTGAAAAATTAACAGCAACATTGCATGTAACTGTAAGTGCTGACGAGAAAGGAAAGAGTAGATAATAACTGAGCACTCGTGTCCGAGTGAGCTTTTAAGCATCAGGTGTCGATATCTGTTTATACAGCCATTTAAATGATATGTAGGTTTGCTTTTATGCATTATAAATTTTTAATTTTCAACTAATGTTTCATGCTTGTTTGTATCTTTTCTCTGATGCTTTTAAATTCCAGTTTCTTTCCAAAGTTTTTATTTAAACGAGCCCATCATATGCATTTGCTTTCCTCAAATACTTTAACTGGTGAATGTGAAAATCAGTCTATAAAGTTTTTTTTTTTTTTTTTTAAATGAAGATGCCAAGTTGCTCAAATAAGTTTCATTGGTTTCATTTTTTAAACAAAGTAACTCAAACTTTTTGAACATTTTTTTATTAAAAACAATATCATCTTTTATGTCCTTTTTCATAAAACATCCTGAATGGCACCATTTACAGGCATACATATGGTATAGTAATATAACATGATTGATGAATTTCCAATGTTGAAATTATGATTTCCCCCCCTCCCTTTTTTTGCTCAAGTCTACACCCTGTATAATGTTTATCATGCCCTGTTCAACCCTTTTCTACACTGCATTGCAAAACAATAAAATGCATCCATTGCCTTAATTTAGTCACAGAGATCTTTCCCCATAGCGTCAACCCAAACACCATTTCAAAGCAAAGACAGCGTGGCACAGAAAACTGAGGCAGAGGTGGGGATGGTTGGGCTTGGAAGACGAGCAGGTAGCTGGGGGGGGGTCGACTGAAGGAGAGGAATCATGGCTCTCTTCAGTTTCCTTGCTGCATGGCTTTCTTCTCCGCTTCAATTTCTGTGAGGAAGAAAAAACAAAAATTTTAAATATTACCAACCATAACCCACTTGCTGTATTTTGCACAGAGGGCTAGTGAAGCTCCCACTGAGTATATTAACCCAACTCAAGGAATGTTTGTTTACTAGTCAATTCACTGCAATTCTTCATGCACAAAGAGACATTCTGTCTGTACTGCATTACGGCAGTTATCCTGCTGCTGTCCAGTTAACACCCTTTGAGTCATCCACTCATTTCTATAGATGGCGTGGTATCTGAATAGATTATCTTCATAGCCACTTTCTGTTTGTTGCAATAGGCGTGACAGAAATGAATGAATAACATTTTCATATCACTTCCACATTTTCCACTTTCAACTGTGAATGCATCGCGTCACATTAACAGATAAATGAGCACAACATTATGACACGAGTGCTCACATACCTCTGAGCTGCTCCAAACTTTCATTTGCCACAGACAGAGCTAAAAATGGGGCCTTGTAGCTCTACTTTACAGCCAGAAGTACAAACCACTTCTCTGGATGAAGATGATCGTCTGTGCCTAAAGTCCAATTTGTCCTAATGAAGCAATGAGAAACGTTGCTGTCTGGATGGCAGCACTGCATATCACATATCTAAAAAAGGCTTTAGAACTCATAAAGAGGACAGCATGCACTGACAGTGCCACCTGCTTCTGAGCCTCTTCTCTCATATAGTAGCCACAGCTGTGTTCAGATTAAGAAAGATTGAGTTAGACAGCAGGGAGCTTCACAGCCTCAGAGGGGAAGGATGGGCATTTTGACACACTTTCATTCTCCTCTTCCTGCTGCTGCATGTCACACCAGAGATGAACACTGCTTTTTAAAAAAATAAATAAATAAAATAAAATTTAAATAAAATTTAAAAACAAAAAAAAACACCATTGTGCAGTTTATGATTGGGGTTTCTGTTTATTTGCTCTAAAATTTGTATTCTTCCACTCTTAGTGGTAGATGGCAGGTTAGAGTTTCAAGAGTGGGAATATGCATGCGTTTCTTCCTTACAGGTTGGTGCTAAGTACAAGGTCTCAGGTAGTTGGGTGTGGTCCTTGTTTTGCAATATTTGCAGTTACCTTTATTTAAAAAAAAAA